GTATGCAGCCTAGTGCATCAGCAAGCTTTTAATTGTCCCGAGAATTTTTCCTCATCTCAAACCCAGTCTCAGAACATTGTCTTCATTAGCTTTGACCTGTAAAAATAAAAGCAAATCAATGATAAAATATATGTAATTTAAGCCTTTAGTATGTAAGTCTGCAAAATAACAGACGCCTCACATATATTTAGAGAAATTCTCCTGGCACATCAGTCTTACCATTTGACTTTTATTTCGCTTAAAATTTTGCAAATAAAAGACTCGTAAGTCAGACTCTCCCGAAGACGAGGGCGGAACTCCATTGGTCTTCTATCGTTTGGGTTCAATTTGGTGTTAAAGTTGATGTAATCCTCGAAGCAGCTTAGTTTGGTTGCCATGAAAGAATGCTAAACTATTTTCAGTCGTATGCATGACCTCATGTTAGTTGTTCGAGCCAGAGTCACAAAACCCACCAACTTATTCCCACACGCTGTATATATACCATAAACCTAGACATTATTTCTAGCTTATATGAACACGAAGACACGCAATAACACACTAGCTCACGTGCATTCAGGTGCCTAGATGTGCATACTCCAAAAACTAACTAAATAGCTCTATACTTTGCAAAGCTGTGTTGTTGCAGTACATCTATAGCATACAGGGATGGACCGGTGAGTGTTTTTGCGAAAAAATGTTGGGTATAAAGGAATCTCTCGGTTCATAATTGTTGGGCTCACTTCCATTTCAAGTCAAAGTGTTTGGCGAAGATAGTCTAAGGCCGATGTCACCAGACGACAACGGCAGATCCCTCTTTACCAGCTGTCGACTGGCCTCTGTCAAGAACTATGCCAACTAGAAAGTTCTCGTTAGTCCTATAAATGTCTTCAATAAGGTGATGAAGGAGTGATGGATTATATGAGTAGGCCTCACGTTTTCATTGAATTTCACATTGTCTTGCTTCCCAAAAGCTATTCTGATAATGCTACCAACTATCAGTCCTTCCTCACATTATGCAACCTAGAATGAATATAGCTCTTATTCAAGACCTACTGGCAGTCTCGAAACCTACTAAATATGAAATTAATTGTGAATTTATTCATATACTTTCTGAAACTAAAAAAAATTCAAGTCAGCATTGTCTATCCATGATCATCCTCGTCACCATGTGTACCCTAATGGTTGGCTTGACAACTGGCTGCCAGACCTCTCATGAAGTCTTTCGACTGTGAATGGCGCGCATCTGAAATCTGAGGAGTTCGAATACAAATGGCAATTTCCAGGTTCCATGCTATCAACAGATATTCCCAAATGTCAGCCGCTCACCTCTCTACCAGCATTGTTGTTGTGCAGGTTAGTCATGCCCAACTTCCTATTTCGCTTCACTCGGCTACGCTCCCGAACGTCGAGGAAGAAGCGCGTAAAGGAGGTACCAAAGTGGATGTTGTCGGAACAGCCGGACCACACAAAGTTGGGTTCTCGGGGATGGTCGTAAATGGTGCTGTCGCATCCGCAATAGACATGCATCCCGCTACTGCAGGCCTTGGTGACGGCGTGGGAGACACCGGCCGAGGTGACGGCCAAAACGTAGGCAGCTTCGCGAGTGCCTGAACCCGAAAAGAAAGCAAAATTATCCTTTGCCTTTGTCAGGAAGTTCTACAAGCAGTCGTAAATAAGTGCTTTGTAAAAATGGGTTGGCAAAACAATGTCTTAACTGTCGAGCAAATAGCTGCAAGATCATGCTCGCTGGTTTCCGGTTTGGTCGAGAGCAGAGAATTATGTTCATATCCAGTGGCAACTATCTGATGTCTGGCGAGTGAACTCCAGCAAAACAAAAGCTTGGCAAAACATATTTCTTAACTATGCCATCAGAACAAATTTCACGATACATTTTACAGAGAATATTTGCGTTCAACTAGTCACCTAAACAGCTGGGATTAAATATGTTCCGGAGAAGGCTGATTATGTACATTTCAGATGATAAAATAATAGGTTTCGAAGCTATCAGTAGATCTTAAATAATAACTGATTGTTAAATTCCCCTAAAATCAAACGAATAGGCCCAGCGAAGCCATTGAATGTCGCGTAAACATGTCTTATAAAGGCTTCAGCATCCCAGCGAGACCGTAGTTAAGGATCCACTCGGGTCTCAGCAATAGCCTCAACTAGCTTACAAACTGGGTTGTGCATTTCAAGTGACAATATCCAAACATTTCTCCACAAAGCTGCTGGTGCTAGTGGGTCACAGGACGGCTTTGAAAGGCAGGCCAAGCTCCTCTCGTTTAACATCTTAAAGCGC